CACGTGTGAGGGCGCAGACAGAGCAGTGGGGAGAGGGCGAGGGCAGGGAAGCAGCGTCCACCTTACGGGAGCAGCCTGCCCTGCTGGGGTCAGCCCCCCTTAGGGAACAAAGGTCTCCAGAGAAAGAGGCAGAGGCAGCCACAGCTCAGGCACTGGAGGGAAATGACAAGTAGTCCAACTCACCTGGCGCCTGGTTTGCAGCCACATGCTGGCTCTTCCCTCTTCTGCTGGGCCTGGAGGAAGAGCAGAGAAGGGGAACTAGGTAAAAGGTGCACGGGAAGGCTGACCCTTGTGGGATTTACAGATCCCAGCCCGGGATCCCAGTGCGGGAGTCTCAAAGACTGAACCCAGCTCTGCCAGAAGCCAGTTCTGTGACTTTGGGCTGTGAAGGAGAATGAAGAGTCAGGTTCAAATGTCTGCTTGGGGAGGGCTGCAAATTCTAACTTCGGAAAGAGTGGCTTCAAACCTCCTGGGTCACCTGGGCTGCCCTGTCCCCAGCAACGAGGGGGTGGGGGTAGGCAGGAGGTTAAAAGAGCTAGAAGAAGCTCATTGCTTAATGAAGCAAATGGGTGGCAAGGCTCCAGGGAGCCCCCCTAAGCTTGCTCCTCTCAGAGGCTTGCTGTCTCCCTGCCACTGCAGCAAGAGATCCTCCCCTGCCCCGTGCCCTCTCCTCTGCAGGGCAGGTCTGTGGGGCCTGTCCTGGCCATCCCTTCCACCTCCACTTTGTTCTCAGGATGCTGGGACTTCACACTGCTGGGCCAGGGAAAGTAGTTGCACACTCTGCCTCTCCAGTGGGGTTCCCAGGCCTCTTTCTAGGGTCCTCTTCCTCCCAGGCCCCATAGGAACTCCTTGGGAGGGATTCTGGCCCTCTGCACCCTTGAGAGCAAACCTGATCCTGTGGAGTCCATAGCTGGGGCTAAAGTCCAATCTCAGTCCTTCAGCACAGACCCTGTGATCTTCTGGCCTCCTGAGGCTTCAGGAAGCCGGGAGCGAGCTGGGTGACAGGGGCATTCCCACTCTGGTCGCGACGTCCAGTTGCCCAGCAGGGCCAAAGCAGGGCTGTCAGACCCTGAGCCCCGTGCTGGTATGAAGCGCGGTTGCCCAGCGCGGGCTTCTGTCCACTGGAGGGCGCGCTCTGCACGCCAGCAGAGACCGAGGCCAGGTGGCGGCGGTCCCCGAGGAGAGCCTTACAGGGATAGAATCAGATCCTGCTATTCTGCCGCCTAGTTCCAGGTGTCCACAGTCTCGCAGGCAGGTAGTGGAGGGACACTTCCAACTTTGCAAGGGCGCCTTGGGCGGTGCCCAGCGCAGGCTTGCAGCCCACTCGGTTGCCGAAACCGTGAAGAGTGCCACGACCCCTAACCCTGCCCACCTTGACCCCGCCTGCAAAAGAGGGTCCTGAGCCTGCGCAGACAAACCCCTGAGAGGTCCACTGGAAAAGCGTCAGGGGGCGGGTCTTCGGAGCCGTTAAAAGCAGCGGCTGCGCCCTGAGAGCTTGGCGCTGCTCCGCAGTTTTCCCTATAATTTTGCAATCTCCAGAATGTCCTATTAACAAGATTATACAATAATGTGGCCTTTGAGTGGCTATTTTCCCTCAGCTGAAGGCCCTCAGATACAGCCATGCCATCATAAGAATCATTCCTCTGAGTCCAGCCGTCCTTTAAGAAACTTGTCAAAAGGTGGTGCTATGCAACACAATCACAAGATCACATCTGTTGCAGGGAAATACAGATTTTATTCTTGTTCCCTGGCTAAAATTCTATTACTACAAAAGATGGAAAGATCAATGAGAGGTATCCGATTTTAGGAATATTGACAAATTGTCTTTTATCCACAGGAAAAGCATAGAAAAATCCTCTGTCTAAATCAAATTGCCCTAAGGAAAAGTTTAGTGTAGTTTAGAGAGCTAAAGGAATTTTAAAAACTAATTATGAAAAACAAAATGTATATGAGTAGCTGGTAATTTTGTTGGCAGAACTGAAGCAGAGTTTTATACAAGTGCTCTGTGTTCTTTGGTAGACAGAACCTCCTTAATCTTATGGCACAACCAGCCCACATTTTCTATTTGCTTAGATAAGGAGCCCTGTAAGACAAAGTGGAACGTGCTTAGAATTTGTTTAGAAGTAGGCATACATACTCATCTAGAATGGACTATGATGTCTCATTGGTAGTCATTTTTCAAAAAACAAAAAGATAATTAAGAAAACAAAAGCATCAAAGACCTAATCTGACTTGGATTCAGACCTTTGGATCATAAGTAGTATAGTTTTCAGCTGTCGTGTGAAATTGTGCATGAATATTTCTTACACTCTACGTTCCCTGCTTCTGATGACACACATTCACCCCATGAAAAAATGCCTCGTAGAAAATAAAGAATATTATTACTGAGTGGCCAGTTAGGGGACCAGTTTCATCTCCCACGTTGACTGAGTAGTAAAAGTCAAAACACATCTGCCCTCCCTGGTAGCGCAACAGGCAGAGCTCAGCTCCGCAAGCTAGCCACAGCTGCCTCAGTGCAAGTTCTATCCCTGCCGTGCAAGTGATCCATATGGCACCCCAGACCTCTTCTGTGTCCCCCACTGCTCCCCTCAGCTGTGTACTTTGTCAATTTGCCACTCTGTTTCTGGTGAATCCTCTCACTGCCCCTGCACCTCTGGCCTGTACCCCATTTCTGTATGCATAAGTAAATTTTTAAAATCTTAAAAAAAACAAACCTCAAAACACATCATCAAGGGCCATGGCCTTCTGCTAAGGTAACACCTCTAAAAATGCAACATGGTATAAAGGAATGGTGCTTTTTTTCAGAAAGAGACAGTCTATATGTACATATAGGTATGTATATATATATATATATATATATACACACACACACTTATAAATACAAATATATACATCTGGGTGGGACAAAGAAATGCAGAGAAAGAAGTTGTACTTCTATTGTCTTGGTCTGACATTCTAATAATAGAACATACTGTAATGATTTTAGCATAAGTTCGTTTGGGAACGATAACTGTTATATTTGTAACAATCTCTTGTCAATTTAGTTTTTTGTTATATTTGTAACAATCTCTTGTCAATTTAGTTTTTTGTTTGTTTGTTTGTTGTTGAGTGAAAGTCGAGGCTTGTCCCTGAAGTAGAATTTTAACTTCAGTTTTCCCTGAAGTTGTCATTCAGAGGCGGTTAGCTTTCAATGCACATTAGAATCACCTAAAGATATTTTCAACCTCAGTCCTCAGACTGGTCCTAAGCATCAGTGCCTAAAGGTCTTCAAGAGTTTCTGGCGTGCAGCAGCCAAGGGCTGACAGTCCCTGCGATGTCTCCAACCAGGGTCTTTCCAGTAGTACCCAGCACAGGTGGCTGCTGTGCCTTCAAACGTCTGGAATCGGGCCGGATGCCCAATTTAATACACAAATTTGCAATTCGGGCATACGCTCTTGTCTTCGGAACCAAACTGCATCGCTCTGGCTCAAATTTCAGAACAAAAAGTCCCGAAAGTGAACAAGCGAAGCAGAAACCAGTTCCTTCTGAGCGGCAGAGAAGTCGACAGGGTGCTCTGACAGTGGAAAACCGAGGATAGTGGACGGGCCTCAAGGATCCGAGGCACTTTTCCACCAGACGACCCCCCCCCACCACCCCCCAATCGGAGGACTGGGAGGCCGTGGCATCACACGTAGACAGTAATCTAGGGTGACCAAACGTCTCCCAGGCACCCAAAACTGCTTCCTTCCTCTCTCCGCCACCGCGACCTACACGCGAGGCCACCCAGCGTTAGAGTCGCCGGCTCCCGTCTAAAGAGCGGGCGCGTGCGTAGGCTTTGAACGTCATATTAAGGCGACCGACCGCCCTGACTTCTGGGACCTGGAGTCCGTGTGAAAGCCGACCCTTGATTGGGAGGACGGACGTCAGACCCCTCTACGCAGGCGCAGTGCTTTCCCACCGAAGAGGCGCCGTCTTCCTGGGTCCCGAGCACTGTGTGCCGGAGGTGAGGGGTGTGGGTGTGTGTCTTCCAGGAGCGCAGCGAGCGCAGCGGCCGAGAGAAGGGGACACGGAGAACCTGGGGGAGGTGCCGTGGGAGTAGAACGGGGTGACGCAGGCTGAGCCAACCTGCAGTGTGTAGACTGTGTGTGGTGACGTTCCGGCTCGGAGAAGTGCAGATGGAAAGTTGTCCCCCCCGCCCCCCAAGAGTGTGTGTGTTCCGCGGGGGTGCGGGCGGCCTTACTGGTGTTCTTTCGGTGTGCACACACTATATGTCAAATCCCAGCTTTCAGATTGGAAGTTCGGAGCCTTCCTCTGGTCCTCCCTTTCCATCTTTCCGCAAAGGATGCTTAATACATAATTTACACGGAGTCGAGAGTGCCATCCACTCCAGTCTCTCACCCTTTCCCAGAAAGCGCCTCCTATTGTCTGGTTCACCTCCCTACGTGGGCCTCCACTTGAGGTCTTTATGGAGGAGGTAGGATTTGATGTGGAAAAACAACAACAACAACAATACACGAAAGAAGTGGAAAAGCGTTCTGTAGATTTGAGAAGAGATGATTTTTACTGGAGTGAAGTGTGAAGGAATTTTGGGAGACAAAGGTGGAGAAAAGCCATTCCTCGGAGTATTGGGACAAGACACAGGCAGGGGTATTGGACAGGGCTGATCCAGGAATACTGTTTGAAACAGTATTCTAGAGGTCACATCCAGGATTAGAAGGATGAGGACTCTTAACTGGCACTCCGTGGTGCCAGTAAGGAATGTGTGATACTGGTATAAGACCTGTAGTACGCGGTCATGGACCTCAACTATAAAGATGTCAGTAGTAGGGAATGGTGCAAGTGACAAATGACATTGCAAAGAAATGTCATTTGGGAAGAAAGAGAAAAAGATAAGAATTCGAATTTGAGGCACCTCGGACAATAACTAAAACATCAGACAGAAATGTAAAGCCAAGGACAGGAATTAGTGTGGGGACTGCCTAGGAGGTAATAGTTTTGAGGTGCTGCCAGAATGCCTAATTCAAAGTTTGCAGTCATTTGGAAGTACAAGATGAGTTCAGAAAACGGATAGGAGTTGAGAACCATGCTGTGAGAGTATGAAAAACAAACTCCTGCCGTGGGTAGACTATCTGAGGGCTAGCAAGAACATAGTACAGAGACAGCCTTGATGTCATCCATGTTTCTAGGGCAAGACTGAGGAATGTCACAAAGAGATGCAATTTTAGTGATAGGAAGAAAATCAGTCATATCTGCCAGAGTAACTACTAGAGGGAGTAGAAACTTGCCCCAACAGTCAAAATTTAAAGAGGAAAGAACCTTTGAAATTAGAGACCCAAAATGCATTGGTAAGTTTCAAGCTTGCAATTCCAGGTGTAAGAGGTGGCAAGAGCATAATAATGGATTCAAGAAAAGTGGGGATGATGATGTGGATTGTATAGGTATATAGTACTCATTCAAGAAGTTTGATCATGAAAGGAAAACATAAATAAGAATGGTTTTATTAGACACTGAGAATAAGGACAGTTTTACACAGATGAAAATTGTACCTATTTGAAGATAAGGGAAGAAGATATTGGAAAAATGGGAGATGCTAGAAAAAGAAAGGCTGGGAATGTTGTGAGCAAATTTTAAGAGTGAATAATAGGGAGAAATAAAGTAGGACACTGATATAATACACTGAAGAAAAATCCTGAAGACAGATACCTCTGTTAACCTCATACCCCTTGCTGTCTAGCACATAACAAGTACTTAGAAGTATTTTTGAATAGTGGGATGAAAGAGTGGATGAATAGATTGATGGATGAATAGGATGAGCATTAAGAAGGAAAGTAATGCTCATTTATTGAAGAGATTGTAAGATACATTAATCATGTCATTTATTACCTATAATGACTTTGTGAAGTAGGAATTAAACAATTGTTAGCTTAATAACTTTCCCAAGCTTCCACAGTTAATCATTCTAGGCCTATAGCATGCTTTCTCCCACACAGTTCTGCCTCCCTTGGCTCTTTCAAAGCTTCTGGTTGGTGAAAGTGCCCTACTGAAATTGAATAGTAGCCATGGAGTTTTGGAATAGCTGTCTACATGACTAACTAGGAATAGTAAAAGCTTTCTAGGCAAGGGTTCATTCAAAGAGATAGAGTAAGAATTTGAAGAGCATTTTCTTTAGAAATAGTCTAAGATCCAAGAATAATAGGAAAAGAGAAAACATATTTTGATGGGTTTGAGGAGTCTTGAGTGCTATTGCGAGCTAACTAAAGTAGCAGCTGGTAGGTCTCAGGGGGAGTGGTCTGCCCAGCAGGGTGTCCAGGGATGATGAACACCTTGGGAGTGTCCCTGGTTGTTTAATGGCTGGGGAGCTATTGTGTTCACCACCGTTTGTAGTTTGTTAATACTCAGTTTATTAAAGTCCTATTATAATAAACCAAACTTTGAAAATTGTCTTTATGCATGTAATCATTGAGCATTTTCAACTACAACTCCATATGTAATTCAGCTGATTGTTCAAAAAGCTCAGATGCTTTATAAAACTTTCACAAATACTTTGATTCCAAAGTTAATACTAATCTAGTACATTTATACCACCAACACAGTATAATTAATATTTTCATTATGCCATCCTAGGATTGTAGCATAGTTTTTAGTAAATGTTCATTCCACTTAGCATAGTATTCTAAATATTTTATACATAGCGTACTATTTAAGCTTTACAATCAGGTACTTTCACAATCTAGTTTTACAGATGAGCAAACAGATTCTTGCCTGAGGTCCCACAGGCAGAGACAGAGCTTGAATCTGATTCAGGCAGTCTTCCAGAGCCTGTACGCTAATGACTGTACTCTCCTGTGTCTCTAAATATTAATTTTGACATCTTCCTCAGGCCCCAGAGTAATATTTTGAGATCCTCCTGGGGAGGAAAACAATACTGTTTCAGACTACCCAAGTTGCAGGCTGGCTCTGGTTAACAGACATGATGACATATCTTTGTTTCCACTGGTGTAGCTATCTTTGCCTCATCTTCTCTTCTTGAAGTGGACATTCATTTTTATAATTACAATAAGCATGACTTTCCATTGGGTTTTTTTAAGTTTTTGCTTTCATAAAATTTTAACTTTGAACTGGTATTTATCCTTAAAGTAATATCCTTTAGAGTTTTGCTTGGCCTGTGTTAACCTGTGTAAATATATATCAATATATTGATCTGGTCTTTTTGAAAATGCCATCTCATTCATATCTTTTAATTAATAAGACCAGCTGCTGCACTGTCTCCTAAGGGAGAAGGGAAGAAGTTCACGCGATCTCTTTCCTCTCTAGCATCTGAGGCTGGTTCATTATTAGGAGTGCATGTTCTTTCTACCTGCCCAGTGCTGGTTTGCCCTTCCTGTTTTGGGTACATATTTCCTGCACTGCTGGGACTACTTGGCTCACCCCCCAACTCCCGGTTCTCTTTCTTCATCTTTTATGAATAGCTACAATGATAATATGTTTATGAACAGTCACACATTTAATTGAAAAAAAACATATGTATTTAAATAACCAAATAAGCATTGCCTTTTTTGTATTATAACCATTTTATAAAGTACTCTGTATTTACTATCTTGAGTATGAAACTGATGGTCTTTCAAAATTCAAATTATTTCATTTAGTAAGACAAATTTTTACAACTGGCTGGTGGAAGAAACATCTAATTCTCCCTATTCAAAGATGTGGGAGTAGCTCAAATTCTCAATATCCAAAACTATACTTGTTAGCTTTCCTTCCAAACCCATTTTTCTGGTGCTCATCTCCATGTGTGGCACCGTCATCCACATCATTGCTTAGATCAATACCCTTGGAGTTATCCCTGCCTTTGCACGGTCTTCAGCTCCCACTTCCACTCAGTCTGTCTTTAATGCCTGCGTCTATTTCTAATGCTTTCACACTTGTTTCTTTCCATTGCCACCACCTTTACTTTTGTTCAGCTCGTCATCACTTCTTGCTTAATTAATTGTAATCATCTTCTTACTGGTCCCATCACCTACATTCTTGCCCTCTCCTAGTCCCGTTTTGCCACGTTACCTCTGTCCCTAAGGTCACCCCCAACTCAGATATTTGCTAGAAGGGTTCAGGACTCAACCTATAGTTGCACTCAGCTAAGATGACAGCAATCTTGCAAGAATACATGGCCAGATCATAAGGCGAAGAGGCAGGTGGAGTCTGAGGATCCATATGCTGCCCTCCTCGTGCTGTTTGCCATGAGGAGTCACAGCACTCGCAGCCCCAGCAATGTGATGTAGCAACATATGTGTGATGTTTCAGCCCGCGGAAGCGCAGTAAAGACTCAGAGCCCAAGATTATTTTTGTTGTGGTCTGGCCACAGACACCTTCTACTTAACTAAATACCAAAAATCTAGAACCTCTAGCAAGAAGGGAGATACTTAGCATACATCAGATTGTTTGCACATACAATTTACAGACAATGCACCAACCTATGTCTTATTGAACTGGAATACCCTCCCCAAAGGAAAATTCCTAGCCTCCAGCCAAGTAGTCGCAGGTCTAATATAATATAATATAAATATTATATTCTAAGCCATTCTATAGCTTTCTTCTTAGTTTATCTCTTATTAACATGATGTTCTAGTTCATTTGAGCAATGTATAATATTTATATGCTACATATACATATCTATATATACACAAATAATCTTATTTTATCTTGTTGTACTATCAGGTACAGTTTATCACTAGTAATTTTTTCCCTGGTGATTTGTAATGTCACCTCCATTATATATCAGGATTCCCTATATGCTTGAATATGTTTTGGGATTTTCTATTCTAGTCTATTGGCTTTTATCTGTGTGGCTATCTTTTCATGAAAGTAAATCATTGTACCATAGAGATTAAAAACTGCTAGACAGACCTGGGTTTCAATTCTCAGCCTCTTACAAAGCCTAAAGTCCCTAATCGAAAATAGTGCCTTACTCATTGATTTATGAAAATAGAATTAAATTACCCTTACAAGGGGTATTTGGCACAGTGCCTGGTAAATAGAAAATCCTCAATAAATGCTAGTTCATTATTAATATGTTTAATGGTATTCCACTGTGTGAATGAACTGTAAGTTTTTTAATGAATAATTTAATAAAGGAATTATTTCATGAAAGTTCCTGTTTTGGAAATAGGGTCACTGACTCAAATTTTCATTGTATGACTCTCAGGGTGAAATGTCTGGCAAGTTGCCTCATTGAGTGCTCCATGGGGGTTAGTGTCGGTGACTGCTACACAGACCTGATGGCTACTTTCCCAGACGTGAGTCCTCTCAGCCCTCAGTGCCTATGGAAGGGGCATTCCTTGATCTAGCTGACCGCCTCTTTTCCCTCAGCACTGCTATAACCTAGATATCCTCCATTGTAAACTTACTACCCTGTTAATCTTTCCTGTGTAGAGACCTGCGTCCTTGTTTTTGGAGTATTTGTTTTTCTTGCTTAGAATCTTTCACCTCCTCCTCCAAATGAAATTTCATGGTAGACCCTACTCCTGCCAACTTGGAGTTTTCCTCCCTCCCTCTTGTCAGGGTTAAGCAACCTCGGATGTACTCACATAGTTTGCTGTGCTTTTTATAGCCCTTATCCATGCTGCAGTTAAGTATTATTTTGGCAACTTGCTTGACCTATATAATAGTCTGTAAGTTTTTGAAGGACAAGGCAATGCCATGCTGTTTTTGTGCTTGGTATAAGTAGTTGGTGCTGAACACACATTGATTGGTGCATGGATGAGCGAATAACAAGGACCAGTGAATGCCGGCCCGTGACTGCCCAGGCGCCGTGAGCCGCAAGCACATCTTTTCCTCCTGCCCACGACCACACTCGCACCTGCCCCATTAGTGAGCTCCAGAAATGCTTGATTTAATGAAATTTTCACTTGACTCTTGATTGTAAGAAACTGAGGTGTGCTCAGCTAACTCAAAGGGAGCTTAGAGATAAGGATTCACACAAAAACCTAACAGGGTTAGAATCTCTTGGAAATTCCAGAATGAATAAGGCTGGTCTACCTGCACCGACCAGCACCAGGAGCCCAGACCAGGAATGCTTGGGTCTTTGCATCAGTGCTTCACCACTAATGTGACTCAGCTGTTCCTGCCCCTGCCTGCATCTAGCGTCTCTGTTCTAGCCTCTTCTCTACCACCTACCTACCTCCCACATCCTCATGAGTTCTGCTTCCTGGGAACTTTGGCTCCCTTGACCCTCATTAACGACTCTGTCCCTGGTGATACCCTTTCAGCTCATCACCCACTTGTTATGATGTTTCCTAGTTCACATTTCTAAGGAAGGACGTCATCTTCTCAAATCCGAACACGTCTTAGACTACAGATCAGCTTGTGCATGGCCCCCTGTGGCCTCATCCGAGTGGTTTGGGAGAGGTGGAGTCGTGGGGAGCAAACCGTGGCTACCCACGGGCAGCTCCTTCAGCACAGGCTTGTGCACGGGCTGTTCTTGTTTGAAAAAGCTCAAGGTGTCTACTTGACATGTCTTGTCCATTGAGCCATTTACTAAATTTCTTGTATTTTTTAATTTAGTTTTCATTTAGCACAATACTGAATGTGAATTTATAACCTGAGCCATAATATGTTCTTGCCTCTTAGGGATAGAACTTTGCTCCTAGGGTTGTGGTAGAACAAACACCACCTTCTGTGCTCACTGGCAATATCCATGGCCTTTTGCTTGAATTCTGGAATAAAGTGAGCTTGCTCTATTTTACCTTCCTTTTTGTAAGATATAGGAAATAAAGGTGGGTATATCACTTACTGGGATGCGGTGATATCTTGCTTCATGAGTCAGGACACTATGAAACAAAAGTAGTCTTTCTCTTACCTTCTTTCTCACCCTCCATCTCTGCTGCATTAGGACTCTGCCCCTGTCTACACGGAGAGCACGCAGGAGGGAATGGCAACTGCGTCTCCAACTGCCAGGTGCCAGGTGAGGTGGACTTTGTGTTTCTGAAATATTCTGTTAGCCTCCCGAATGTAACCACTCTTCTTTCTCCACCCTGGAGCTGCTTTGATCACACATGACCAGGTGCCTGGAGGATTCCACGGGCAGGGCTTCCTTCCCATTTGGTGTCCAGTAAGACCCTTTTCTTGCATTGAACAGGTGCTTGTTAGCCTTTCACCAGGCGCACAGCCTGGTGACTTTGTCTATAACCCAGATGTGTGGGTCTGAAGGGGAAGTATGGAGAAAAGCGGGCTGGTAGTTGTCCCATGTTCTAGGAGGCGCAGGGTTGGATGGGGGATATGCCACATGCTGCGGGGCACCTCCTTGCACTTTAAGAGTCCTGGAGTGAGTTTTGTGTGGGGAGACACATGGGGCTGGCCCCGTCCCTGCTTAGTGTCTTGGATTCCATATTCTGATATCTTGATCATAAAAGAGAATGTCCTGTTTCTACTATATATATATATATATATATATATATATATATATATATATATATATATATATATATATATATGTATGTATATATACATACATATACATACACTGAGATATTTGGGAATAAAAGTATATCATGTGTGCAAGTTATTCTTCAGTTGTTCAGGGAAAAGGCAGGAGAATGTATATTGAAAGAGACAGAGATAAAGCAAATGTAGAAAATGTTAAAATCTGGGCGCATAGGAATTCTTTCTATTCTTGCAAGTTTTCTGCAAATCTGAATAAAGAGACCCTGATATTTAGAGGCTCAGGCGTAATACAGTGTTGTGGGATTGAGAACCAGAAATTCATGCTTTGGGGGATCATGCTACTCTCCCCAAATAATTCAAAGGCCTGCATTGTTAGAATCATATTCCTTCCCTCTGTCCACGTATTTATGACAATTTTGTCTGGTCAATGTAAAGAGAAGGGCCTTAAGTAGGGAAGAATGTGATTTTATTTCCAGGAAACAGTGACATTCGAGGATGTGGCCGTGATTTTCACAGATGAAGAGTGGAGGCATCTGGTGCCCATTCAGAGGGATCTGTACAAGGAGGTGATGCTGGAGAACTATAAGAGCATTGTCTCATTGGGTAAGAAGTGCTTTGCAGGAGCTAGACTCTGTGCTGTGCTAATATGGGGTTGCTACCTCTTCTCTCCCCACTTGAGTTCTGAAACTCTGAGAGACAGAAGACTAGGACCTTAGGTGTACAGTAACTGTGGGCTTCGTAATCCTGAACCCCAGCAGGGACAGACCTGCTCCCTGAACTGTCAGCAGGGCTGGACAATCCAGGGTCCCTCACTGAGCAGCCTGCCTTCAAAACCGAGGGCTAGGGCCTGCAGAAAGTGTGCCTGCTGCAGGGAGCTGGCTCCCCTGTGGGGTGTGAGCAGAAGAGGCCAGTTTGCCCATCTCATCAGTTGGATAACTTGCTCAGCACTCTCCTGAGTACTAAGGTGGGGCACAGTTCTCACAGATGCAAAGGAGTGGACAGGGATTGTTTGCCTGTTAAAAAGAGTAGGAAGACAAAATGTGCCTCAGAGTACAATGGTGGAAATGTTTGACTTTGAACTTTTGTCTTAAGTGCAGTCTTAGAGTGATTCTCACAGAAAGAACTTCACAATTATAGAGACTTGTGTTACCAGGAGAAAATGCAGAGCTACTGATTTCAGGGGTTTACGGGAAATCAATCCAGGCTCCTTTTGGTGATGAACAACTCCTGAGAGCTTCAAGTATAAGGCTCACAGTGGGTACATGCAGACACAGGCTTACCATGTGCAGTAATGTGGAGGCAGTAAACGGGATTGCTTGGCAGATGCCAGGTCAAAAAAACAAACGTTAGTATCACCTGGATTAATTTTAACAGGCCAAATACAGAATACAATGTAAATAGGGTGTCGAGGGGGCATTAAGCAGACTTGAGCCTTTGTCATAGACTTTGACTGGATGAAATATTTGGGAAAATAGAATTCCTAAGAGTCACGGTGGGGGGTGGGGGGGGGCATTTGGCCATTTGTCAGCAGAGAATCAGTGTACTCTCCAGTAGGGGATCCTTGGGCCCCTGTGAAGTGCTTTTCTTTACCAACTCAGAGGTCCCAATTCAAGGCAAGTTTAAATCTTGAGACTATTTCTAGAGGGGATCTATTTTATATAGTAAAACAGTGAATATATTCACTGTTTGGAATTTGTCCTGTGGAAATAACAGCCTGTGTGGTGTACACAAATATTGACCATAACATTGTTAATACTAACAAATTAAAACCGGTATTGAATGTCTGTCAGTAAAACATTAAATTAAGTGAAATAAATTATGTTATTCCATACAATGTAATGTCATGTAGCCATTAAAATGCTGAGGTATATATGTACTAATTGAAATAAAATATTTTAAATTTATTATGTGAAAAAAATCAAACAAATCAGCATTATATCATAATCCAGTTTTATTTTGCTTTCAGTGAAGCTTTTCTATCCAAAATTATCTTTTATATGTAGAATGGGCCTGTGTGATATGTACTGTGTATTTAGTGAAGGAATTGTAACGTATCTGTGATATGTCAAAATAAATCAAATAGAAATTATTTTGGGTGTGGTAGTCTTAATTATTTTTCTAAATAAGATTCAATTTTTTTTTTGAGATATAGCTGTCACCATGTAACTATAAGTATCTTTTTGTATTAAAATGAGTAGAAAGAAAGAAGAATATGAATAAAATAAAAATGGGCACCTTCATTTCATATTTTTACTTAAGATGATCTTTTGTTATTCTTATCTTCCCAGATCCAAAGACTCTTTATTCTAATCCAGTGCTAAAGTTAGCAGTGTCTACTTCCTGCATGGGGAAAAATAAACACATTGATTCAGATGAATTTTATTGACTTTCTGACCAAGTGCTACTTACTCCTTTTTTTAGGACCTCCATTGACCTCCTTTCGGGGCACCTGCTGTCTTTGCACTTTGTACTCTACATTCAGGCGTGAACTCGCTGCCTTTACATTTTCTCTCTGGAAGACCTAGAGGCAGGGGTTAAGCTTTGAAATAGTTGTGTATTTTTATCACACCTGGCTTGTTTCTTTCTCCTTAAACAGGACTTCCGGTTCCTCAAGCTGAAGTGATTTTTCAGTTGAAAAGAGGGGATGATCCTTGGATAACTGATCTTCATGGGTCTAAGGAGAGAGAATGTCCAGAGAAGATCTCTCTAGGTAATTGAGCACGAACAAGGTAGTTTTGTTCTGTAGCTATTATTTGAATATGTGTTGAAGGGAAAATTGGGTATCGCCTTTTTCTCAAATTCAGGTCTTCTGCTTTAGTGTTTATTCTCTATCACTCAACTTTCTTTTTTTTCACTACAACCTAAATTATTATCTATGTTTACTTACCAGATTTTTTTTCACAGCCCTGTCGTGTTAATATGCTCTTGATATTCCTGTTCCTGACCATCCCCTCCATTATGATATTCTTATAAGTAGCCTGGCCACGGTTCCATTGCAAATGTTCCTTTCTTCTAAATTCTGGTCTCTCACTTCTGGTTTCCTAAGTCTTTCCCTACCACATAAAACTGTTGGTAGGAGCACATGATGCAGTATATTATTTTCCAGATTTATCATAGCACCTGTTGGGTTCTTTGGCTATAATATTTCCTAATCCTAGAAAGAAACTGCATCTGTTTTCTGTCTGTTTTAGACTGTGAAGCTACGCCTGATATTCAAGGTGATTCAGGTGAAGAAAAACCAGAAGGAACACTGAAAGAAAGACCTGGAAGGAAAAGTCCTTTGTGTCCTAAATTTGAAGATCTGACTGTGGAGGATGAGTTGGAGACAGAGGAGGAAAGCCCTGAAGTGGAAGCCTGCAAAAATTCCCTTTCCCTGGAGGAAAGTTCACAGCAAGAATCAACCCCTTCCAAGAAAATTCTCCCTAAAGAGAGAGACCAGGAATGCAGTGACTGTGGAAAGAGCTTTTTTGATTACTCATCCCTCATCCGCCATCAGAGGACTCACACTGGAGAGAAGCCTTATGACTGTCAAGAATGTGGGAAAGCCTTCAGTCACAGGAGCAGTCTCAGTAGACATCTGATGTCTCACACTGGAGAGATCCCTTATGAATGCAACGTATGTGGGAAAGCCTTTTTTGACCGTTCATCCCTAACTGTTCATCAGCGAATTCATACTGGAGAGAAGCCCTTTAAATGCAGCGAGTGTGGCAAAGCCTTCTTTGACCGCTCATCCCTTACTCGACATCAGAGAATTCATACTGGAGAAAGTCCTTATGAATGTAATCAATGTGGAAAAGCCTTTAGCCAGAAAAGTATTCTTACTCGACATCAGCTAATCCATTCTGGCAGGAAGCCTTATAAATGTAATGAGTGCGGGAAAGCCTTTTATGGTGTCTCATCACTGAACAGACATAAAAAAGCTCATGCAGGAGAGCCTCGCTATCAGTGCAACCAGTGTGAGAAGGCGTTCTTTGACCGCTCCTCCCTTACCCAGCACCAGAAGATTCACACTGGAGACAAGCCATATGAATGCAGTGAATGTGGGAAAGCCTTTAGCCAAAGATGTCGGCTTACGAGACATCAGAGAGTCCATACAGGCGAGAAACCTTTTGAGTGCAGCGTGTGTGGGAAAGTTTTCAGTTCTAAGTCATCAGTTATTCAACATCAGCGTCGTTATGCCAAACAGGGAATAGACTGAGTTGGTTGAAAGCTTTAGTCAGCCAAAGGACCTTCATAAAATCTTAGGATAGATCTTTATCACTTGATCATTCTATCTTTTCTGGCAACTACCATCTCTCCCATTTCTGCTACCACGGTGTTTGAATAAACACTACCTACTGTGTTACAGAACTGATGTAGGATGCTGGCAATTAGGATGGGAGTTAACATTTTACAGTTTATCAGACAAGTGCATAAACATTAGTTGTGCCAGAGGCCCCAGATACTACTGCACTTTAAATAACTGGAGGCTCCAACAGGAAGGAGAAAGCAGGATTATATCTGAGCAGCATTATTGTTTCTAGACAGTTCTTTTTACAACTGTTAGTCCCTCTCACAGAGCTTTTTTGGGTGCTGACCTTTTTCTTTTGTGTCCCAGGTCACTTTTATTACTAGCTAGCATTTATTGAGCACTTATTACGAGTTAAGCACTTAGAACTCAGTCAAGAGTTTTACAAGAAATATTATCCTCATTTAATAGATTAGCAAATAAGTCTTTTAAAGGGATTCAATAATTTGTCCAAGGTCACACAACTAATAAAAGGTGAAGCTAGGTCTTGAATACAGGTCTACCCTTGAAGTCTGTTCTTTCTACTATTATGACATGAGACTTATTTAATAATTTATGCACATGATTGTACATAATGATATAGATTGTGTGCATTTGGAAGCATGACTTATGTCTTTGTATTTCACATAATGCCTTGCAAATAATAGGTGCTCAATAAATATTTATCTAAGTTAATGACTTTCCCACTTACCAAGTTCTCGCTACTTAAAACACTTCTTTCTCTGAATTTGTAGTCTATCCTATATGTTATGATTTCAGGCTCCCATTAGTGCAGTAGTCACAGATTCCAATTTTTAACTATTATTGAAGTGATGGTGCCATATAAGCAAGCCTCCAAATAAAGATTCATTCCTCACATACAACTGATATGACTCTGTCATATTCCATCCTTGTTATTTAGAACTTATTGCTCCATGGTCAGCATGGAGAGATACTTGGAGGATATTTTAAAGGACCACCACTTAGGTCCACAACTCCTAAGTGGGAGCCCAGCACCAAACAGCTAGGAAAATCAGATAAGTACCACAATATTTGCTTAATATCAAGAAGCTCTGTCATAAATTATATTTTGCACATGACTATTGGCCAGTTTTTCCAAATGATCCCTTCCTGCCCATCATTGCTTTATGCAGACTTAAAATAGTCCCTATTATTTATTTATTTTTTCATGTTTGATGGATTTTCTTTATTTTGTCAACAAAATTCTTTGAAGATAAAATGTGGATCTCATGCATCCTTGCAAAATATTTAATGAAAATTTCTCTATCTTGATCCCACATTGCTGAACTTTTAAGTTTTGATTCCAAAAACTTCTATCCCCTGGGCCCAGCCTAATATTTTTATTTTATTAATCATCAGGTACTAGGCAACTTTGACTCTAGAAATTTGCATTTACTTCCTACTTCCTTAAAATGAAGCCTACAAGAGGACTGGATTCTGACAGGCTGTCTGGGACTTAGCTTGCCCTGCTTGAACCCCAGTGGACCAAGATGCTTTTTCCCTGAAAGTCAGATTCAAGAGGCTGGACTGCCAAACAGATCCCTTCCCAACCTGACAACCCTATGTCCACCTATGAGTGACAGGGAAGACTCATGGATGGACTTGTTAAGCAACTTGAAAAACACTTAAAAGAGTGGAGAGTCTATAGGTGTGGATAATATCTGACACTAAATAATGTCAAAAAGAAAATAAAAGAGACTATTGACAAATTTTTGACTAATCACTACTCTGAGAGTTCTGAATCTTTAATTTACTGCTTGTTTAAAAAAAAATGAAGGTCAGCTATTTCGCTAAGATATTCTGCCTTTGTCAACAAGATGAGATTAGAAGAGATGCAGAATTCTAATAGATTTTGAGTACAGTGATAATTGGAACAGAGTGGGAACCTAAATGTTAGAGTTCTCCCAGGCTGAAGAAGTCAGCTACAGTGAACCAGGAGAGAGGGCTATGTCTAATCTCAGAATACCACAACCAGACTGAACTCCAGACACAGCTCACTCATGAGTAGTAATCTTTCAGTAAAGCAGCAGACATGCATTTTTATCCCAAGGTATTTCAACTTGACTATATGCTATTGACACTAACTTAGGTTGGTGGGCCAGTGGCTAGTGCCAGGACCACATTATTCTATTAAAAAGTAGGCCTATGTATGTGAATAAAAACAGAGTTATGGTAGAAGCCCATGTTTTCTAAGAACACACAAATGAAAGCCAAGAAAAGCAATGAGAACCATATTTGTTTCAGGTACATAAATCTTCTCAACAAGAATACAATTTTCATTCAGTTATGGAGCAGCTAAGTGTGAGTAAATAATCTAGGGATACTCCTTGTCTCATGGAGTTCAATCTGTGATATGTGTGTTGAGAGACATACAACAAGTATCTTACAAAAAGGTAAGTGCTATGAAACAAAAGTCTATGGTCAGAGAAGGTGAATAAGCTTCAGGGAAGTGAGAGTGCAAGTCATGTGGAGAACTGGAGAAAGGATATACAGTCAGAGGGTCAAACAGGCTCCATAGTGGACACATGCTCCACCTGACTATAGTATGGCAGAGAGGTCAGGGTGCTGCAGCACAACATAAAGGGAAATAGATGAGATCAGAGTTAGTGGGTGGGTGTGGATGATGCAGATCATGGCCTTGTGGGCCACTGTAAAGAACAGCTTTTTTTTTCTGAGATCATGGAGCCATTATTAGGATTATAATGTGAGAGCAATATAATGTGTAGGAGTGAGATCAGTTAGTGGGCACTTTCAGCCATCCAGACAAATGATAGATGTTTAGAAAAGGGTGGCCGTGGTGGAAGTGCTAAGAAGTGAGAGTCTGCAAATAATTTCAGGATCTGCTGAAGAACTAGATGTGGGTTGTAAGAGAAAAAGACTAACTCCAAGGGGTTTGAACGGAGAAAACAGGCATGGAGATGCCATTTACTGAGTTGGGGGGTGGACTGCATGTTAATGAGGTATGACAGTAAGGGAGGGAGGACATCAAAAGTTGTGTGTTGAATATGCTACATTAAAGATGTACATATGTTTATTAATATACATTAATAAATTGTAATTTATTAATACTTATTAAACATTCAAGTAAAACAGTAGAGGAGATGGCCCAAGGTCAAGAGGAAGAAGCCCAGGCTGGAGATGGAAACTGGGAGTTGATGATATGTGGAAGATACTGAGGACACCTCGATTGAACAAGATTACTAAAGAGTAAGTGGTGATCAAAAAAATAAAGAAGCCTAAGGAATGTGCTCTGGGATAGTCCAACATTTAGTTGGTTACCAAGTGAGCTGCTTGGGAACTTGCTTGAAAAGTAAATTCTCAGGTCCTACTCCAGACATCTTGAATAGAAGCAGAGTTTAGCACTGTGCTTTAGCAAGCCCTCCAAATGACTTTAATCATAATATATAGTCTGAAAACTACTGGCTCAGAGGCTGGGGAAACAAGGAGGAACTACTTGAGACTGAAAAAGGTAATCAGTCGAAAATCAGAGTGTGTTTTCAGGAGGAGGTGATAATTCAGTTTTATCAATTACTATTAACAGATAAAATGAGAGAACTGAGAATTGACCATTGGTTTGCTAACAAAAGAAAAATTTTTGTGATGGGGATGGTTAACAAAAGGAAGGTAATCCCTGTTGTTCCAGGCAGGTAAGCTAGCAATGTCTTTCACAAACACCATTTTTGGAAAGAAAATGCCCCACTGCATAATGCCCCTGGTGATGACAGGGGTTAAGGGGAGGGATTCCCCCAGCTGTTCTTTTAGCTGTCGGGGTTGTATTCTCTACCACATGCCCTCTCTCCTCCCAGCCCCAGTTGACTGAAACAAAAGCAACCAATCTATAGAACAGTTAGGCGTTAAGTGTGACTATTTGTGTAGCAGAAGCACAGGAAAGTAGTGGATTATATAAAACAGAAGTTTTCATTTTTCTTAAGTTAAAACTAGAGCTCTGTTCCACCAATTTGTCTGAGGTTTTCTATTCCTTCTATGAGGTTGGTTTGCCATTCCAAGGGTGTTAATCTTGTCCACTGCTCATGATGACTTTTCTGCATGCAGCCACCTGGACCAACGGTCTTCTTCCCTTTAAGAATCACTTTTGCTATGGCGAGAACAGATGAGGAGAATATATAATCTTTACCCTGTGAACCTTGGGTCTAACTACTAGTTGACTATATAAAGGACATTATGGCTTGTACTGAAACAGGGACAATTAAACTAATTTGATTACTTTTTTTTAGTTTTAAAAGGACTGGTTTATTAGGAAATCGAGAAAGAAAAAGAGGGGCCAGTATAGATACAGGCTGGCGCGAGAGATCCCTAAGCTCGTTCGATTTTCTGTCTTGGAAATTTGAACTAAAGAACTGGCTGCTTTATTGTGAAAAGATAAGCAAGAATACACACTAGTCTGATACACACAGCTACTCCAGCCTTCCCTGAAAGTGAGTACAGCAGCTAAGGAGAAGCGTAAGGAGCTAAGGTGGGTGGAGGGCTCTGCCCTCTGCGGGTTTTGGTGTCGGGGAGAGAATGCACACGGAAGGCGGAGTTTGCCGCAGACGAGTACTTCTTTACGAGCCGCAGCTCAGTATCGCATAGAGGAAGGGGCGGCTCTTCTCGTGGCCAGGAAAAGAGGGGTAGAGAGTTCCTGTAAACCCAGCCCGGGGCCCGCCGTGGCGGCAGACTGTCCCGATCGCGGCTGGCCATCCGAGGGGCCTGCTGCGGCGGCTACTTTGGGAAGCGGTGTCCCCTGCGAAGGGATGTTCTTTGGGAAGCGGTGTCCAGTGACGCAAACCGCGCTCTGCAGAGGATTCTGGG